ATTGAATGGTCTTCTTGTAATTCTCGTATCTCTCTTGTCTCGAGGAGGGGACACCTTGTTCCCTTCCCCTTTAGGTTGTTCTTTGGTTTTTTGTGGATTAAATGTCTTCTGTTGTTTCTTGTCAAAGAAATGTATCAATGTGAGGCGTCTGTCCTGTTGGCATTATTTACTTTGTCAACTTTAGAATTATGGTGCGGATAGGAAGTATTTTACGTAACTTTAATATGGTACTCAGTTTAGAAAAATCATTTACACAATGTAATCTTGTTTATTTGGAAAAAGGAAGTGTCATGTTGTCCAAGTAAAACCAAACGTCTCTACTTCAATTTTGCACTTTGAAGTTGAGGCAAATTGATTCAATGAATACTGTATTAGCCTAGTGATTTTATTTCTGGAATGAAAATGTAAAATAATTTTGCCTAGAAGTGTGTTGGGGAGTGTATTTTGTAAAATTACCTACTCGTGATTTTTCTTTTGATACACAAACCTACTCGTGATTTTTCTTTGTATACACAACTACTTGTTGTCCTGGACTTTTTCACTAGAGGGAAAGTGCTTGAATGTTAATTAATATGACATAAATAAGATCACAAGATACTTTTCTGACCACAAGAAGTTCATTCACACACTACTTTCGACATCTTTAACACAGTTATGATACAATATTGGGATTCTGAGTACTTTCTTGTATTTGTAGGTAGTTGAGGCTTCCTTTTTTGGGGGGTTTTTTTTTTTTGTTTGCCCTTGAAAAGTCAGTTTGTTTAAAGAAAAAAAGAACATATATATTTATCTTAAATCAGATTCATGACTTACATATATATTTACTTGCTCTTTTATTTTCCATAAACTATATTTTTCTATGATTGTTCCCATCAAAAATATTTTACCACTGTGATCTCTCCCTCTCTCTCTCTCTCTCTCTCTTTCTCTCTCCAATTCTTTAATTATTCATTTTTTTGTTTGTTTGTAGGCTTTTTCAGAAGCTTATTCTATTTTGGAGAGAGAGCTAGTATCTCTTCATGATAATTGTGACACAAGTTCAGATGGAACTAATAAGATGCTGCAGAAAATAATCCCTAGCATTGATTTATCATAAGGGCTTGCTCTATTATCTTTACATGCATGGAGGTATTTAAGTTACTCAGTTTATGTTATTATTATTATTTCTTTAAAATGGAAATCTATGAAGTCTAACTAAGTTTTAGTTGGTTGGAACTCAATGTCAATGCTTTTGAAGTGATGATGTGTGTTCAAGTGTTCTATTTAATACTAACACTACCAAAAGATTAGTGTTATTTCCAATGGTCATGGTTCACATTGCTTTCACCATTTTCAGTTTTTCTCTATTATTCATAGGAATGAACATGTAATTATAAAAAGAACGCGATCAAGCAACCCCATTTTAGCAAGGAAAGTTGACTTTGAAGAAAACTTATTGGAGGAGGTCCAATGACCAAACCACCTTATCTTGACCCTCATATAGAGGGAATAGGCCAAATTAAGGAGTTTTTTCTTAAGCTTGTCATAAGAATTAAGGCTTCTGCTGGCCAGAGACCATTAAAACAACTTCGCTTTTTTGGATCATTAAACTGCAAGCTAAATCCACCGAAGGGGTCTCAGCTTCTACTCTCAATTTCAATATGTCTAAAGAAAGTATATTTGGAAAAGAATTTACTGGAGGACGCAAAGGACCAAACCACCGTGTCTTTATCCTTAACCAGTTGAATCACATCAATTTTATCTAAAAGGGTAATTCAGTTGTCTATTTTTCTATTAAAGAGACCTTTTCTCACCCTAGGTCTCAAACATGGAGCTTGTCACTACATCAGTCCAAAATGGAGGTGGACGTGCTGCTTCACGATAATAGGGTATGTGCTAGATTCCGTGGCTTTCTTGAAGATTACCTTTCATTTTTTTATGGTCTTCATTGTTCTCCATTTTATTATTCATAGCAACTTCCTATGTAATGTTAAGTTGCTGTGATCGTCATTTGGGTTCCCACTTCGAAGTCTTTAGTGGGATTCATTTAGGTCAAACTTGAATTATGCCGGTTAAATTTACACTTCCTATATAGGAGAGAATATCAAAACCATCTTGATGCGATTTTTGCTTTACCGAAAAAGAATCTAGAAAAGCGATCATGAAGAACCTATGCTCGTAATGTTCATGCATATGATAAAATCTGATTATTCAGGAGGACCAGAGAAGTGGCGGGGGTTCGTCCACTTGCTTACCTGGCGTTAAGTTTATGTCCGTGACGATTGAGGTGCAACCTAAGTTCTTTTTCTTCAATGTTGAACATGTGTCCATCATTTATTTAGGTTTTCTTTTGCAGAGTTTATTTTTTATTCCAACGGTTCCAATCTCATTCAGTTGGCGATCATCATTTGGTCCCCATTGAAATCTTTTCTTTGATCGTGGCCGTCATCTCAGCGAGCAGATAATGGTAATCCTCTTTATCCTCGGGTAAGGAAGCTCATCCTTGCTTACTTGTCGGTATCCAAAATGGTTTATGACATCTGTTCTATTTTTGTTAATTTTGTCTCCATTTGGGATCGTTTCACATTCTTCACTATTGTACTTCGCTCCGTAGCAATCTTAATCCTTCATAATTTTGCAGTACCAACTTTGGCAAGCTCTATCTGGACCACTCCTCTCAGACGGGTCATTTCACCTACTTTCCGTACACCTTAGCTTAAAAAGCTTCTCCATAAAACCCATACTAAATTAACGTCTCATGCGTAATGACTGGCCTGTGATCTCTTGGTTGCCGTAGAAGGTCGTTGTACAAATGGAATTGGGAGGAGTGCCCCAAACTTGTCCTCATCCGATTATATCCAGCTTTGGTTTGCCCATCTACTTGATCAGTCTCAGTCCTGTGCACGTCGATGACAAGGCTTGGCTTCTATAAGATAAAAGGAGAAAAAAGAAGCGGACCATGTTGATAAAAGTGCACTGGTAAAACAACTTGTTTCCTTGATTAGATCATTCTACTAAGCGGACAAAAAGTTCTCCATAATGGTCGATGATGGCCGGCCACCACCGTTCCAGGAAAATAACGTGGCGCTTTTACAGCTCTTAGAGACCTCATATATTACACTTCTCTCCATAGTGTTATTTTACATGTATTTATGTGACTCGCTGAGGAAGGATGCATAGTGGATTGGGCATTGGTTGAGGAAACGTGTCCGCGTGTCATTACTTGCTAAATTAGAGTAGATACATTGGTTGAAGCTAATCCAGTGTATAATGAGAGTAGATAAATTGTAACGAGGTTTTTGAGATGAAGTTTTTTAAATTTCTCGCTGCAACTCTTTTACAGGTAGTATTCATCATACGCTTTCTTCAGCATGAACATCATCTTGGCCGTCCGACCAACCAAGTAAATTCCCGTTATATTTTTGTAAGAGTTGATTTGAAAAGTGGACTAACTGCTCTGCAAATTTAATTGGATGACCTTCGAGAAATTCAATCTTCAATGCCGTGACATGAAATTTCATGTCATAAATTAAATGCAGTGTATATGTTAAAATTTTGAGAGGCCTATTTTAATTTTTTAACCATTGTCATTGTTGTTGCTTTCTCTCCCTGGGGAATGGTTATATTTATTGGTGATTATGATTTGAACTTTTCCAAACACGATGTTCCAGCAGAACTCTGGGAGCCTTTTGATGGACTTCCTTTACTTTGGGTAAGCTTGACTCTCTTTATTATTATCGTTATTATGTCTTTCCGCGAAAACTAGTATCACTAACCAAAAGGGAAAAAGATAACTGGAGTTGAGTTTCTAAGTCCAGTTATTTTTGCACTACAATAGTGGACTGTAACTTCAACGTGCATGTGTTAAAGTAGAATCGTTTACTTTTATTTCAGGAATGTATTTGATTCTTGTCAAATGCGTATTTTAATGCAGGGGAGCAGAGCCTATATAAAGAGGGAAAGGGGATACAGGTACGCCATTTCTTAGTACTATCGATGCATTTATGAGTAAGTTATAACTGTTAACTACATTCCATTTTTTATGTAGCATTGATCCTTTGCATATTGATGATCCTCTTTTCCCCATGAATAATGTTGGACGAAATTGTTTCTGCTTTCATCAATGTATCTAGGTGAGGCCTCTAATAGAAGTAGCCAATGCAGTTTTTTTTCCTGCTGTCAACCTAGATTGGATGGTCTTCTTGTAATTCTTGTATCTCTCTCTGTCTCGAGGAGGGGACACCTTGTTCCCTTCCCCTTTAGGTCGTTCTTTGGTTTTTGTGGATTGAGGTCAGTTGTTTCTTGACAGAAATGTATCAATGTGAGAAGTCTGTCCTGTTGGCATTATTTACTGTCAACTTTAGAATCATGGTGCGGATAGGAAGTATTTTACGTAACTTTAATATGGTTCTCAGCTTAGAAAAATCACTTACACGGTGCAATCTCTAGTTTGTTGGGAAAAACTTCATACCGTGAACCAAATTTTTTAATTTATATAAATATAATAATAAAATAATAATGTGAGTAATGGGATAAATCTATTTTTTAATTTTATTGTAAATATAAAATAATAATGTGCAACAATTTTTTCATTTAAATAATATATTATATAATATTATTTATAATTATTTTTTTTATTTGTAAAAGTAGTCGAAATTCCACCTTCCAAAGATTGGTTATTTTTTATTTCATCTTGTTTGGTGGTAACTTCTTTGTTTATTTTGAACTCTAATGCTTACTCTGACACATTTTATACCCAAGTGTTCAATATGTCTGAAAAAATTATTCTTTTTATACTCACGTCCTGAATTACGTCTCGGATCCCGGGTCATTAGATAGGAATCCGAGAATGAAGAGAGAAACAAAGAATATTATTACTATATAAACAAATAGTTTTAGAATACGCATTACACTATTCTCCAAATATTTTTTTTAGGGAAGTTATTTTGAAAATTTTTTAAGCTTGAGCAGACATAAATACCTTTGTTGACCGAGGGCCTCTTTTCCAGCTTATTTTTTTCCTTGCCTGAAGCACGTCCTTAATCCTTGAAGTCAGGGTCTATTGGTGGTCCCTCGATAAGCTTTTCCTGTAAAACTTGACCCTTAGGCACTACAAGTTCGGTTCCCTCGCCTGACATGGAAAAATATCTCTCTAGTACCATCTGCATCAAATAAAGGTATTGAGAAAATTATAAACAAAAAATATGCGCCTGACATGGATTGCAGCATTTATCACCCAATGCTCATAAATATGAGAATTTTCACCACTTTACCATGGCAGCATAGGCATCAATTTTCTTCTGCCGAGTAGTTTTATTGAGCCCCCTGAAGAAAAACATCGTAAGCCGATTTTCCAGATTCATGTCTTGTTCATCATTATACATGATATATGTGACCAACACAAATAGACAAGTATAGATATATTCTGATACAAAGGGGAAATCATTGTTTATTTTTCAATAAGAAACCAACCAATTTCATAGATAATATTACATTACAAAAGATGTGGGAGAAAGGAGGGGGAGGAAAGCCAACCCCAAGCCTAAAAGATTACATAGAGTTCTTCCAGTTGATGCAACAGACAGTTTAACCACAGCTGTCAATTTACACTGAGAGACCCGCAATAGAAACATCTAAAAACAATCAAAAGTCAACTTTTTTTCCGAAGCATCTAATTTGCATAATGAAAAATCTAAGAACAGCTGCAAAGCCCATTTTAAACATAAACCGTTCCATTCTACTCTACCATCAAATACAATAAAGCAAAAGGGACACTGATAACATCAATGACTACAGGCGACAAAAATGTGACTATCCATGCAACAACCCTCACAGTTTCATATAAAAGTTCGCAAGAGAATCAAACTTCCGAGTAATTGACTTGGTTGTCCATCATTCTCGTCATTCACTGTTACTTGCTTCTCTCCCTCAGTTACAATATGGTTTCTTTTAGTGGAGACGATTGATAGGTAAAAATATTAGAGATGAGTAAAACAGATGTCTGCAAGCATATCCTTTCTTTTGTAGTTCATAAAATCTTGTTAACAGAGATTAAACCACAAAACTTGGGGCCAATGTTGACTGGTATACGGATCCTTAGTCTCCCAATCTCCATGCAACAACCCTCTCTCTCTCTCTTAAAAAAGCCAAGTTAGAACCTTCGAACGTAGGTATAAGTCTATGACCACGGCAACCACAAATAGGGTAATGCTTCCACCAATTCTCCAAAAAAGAAGCAAAGGATGATGTTGCAGCCAAATATTTAGGAACAGTAATTTGTTTCAGCCCCTATTTTCTCGATTGCAATCATAAATCTAGGTTCCCATCAAAGGTATTCATTTTCTCTTACAGATTTTGTGTGCCTTCATTAAATTCTCCTTTTCCTTTTATAATAGGCTCTAATTGATGGGAAAAGTAGACCAAACCAGCGAGCATCCCCCAATCCAAGCCAAGTTGATTCAACAAGGGTTCCCAACTGGCTTTAGAAAGAAAATCTGAACAATTAAAATAAAATAAAATAAAATAAAAAAACAAAAACAAAAACAAATTGTGTAAGGAAATCCAAGAGGATGCGCTAAATCCAACAAATCTGTTCACTCCCTCTCCTATAGAATTAAGACAGGTTGGGCTAATCACTCCCTCTCCTGAGAATTAAGACATACTGGGCTACGATAGTGGAACTCCGTTTCACCACCTCGCTTTGAACCAACAACCTCCTCAACACTCAACACCAAATATTTGGCATGGAAAGCAACCGATCAACAACTTCTTTGTCTCATGCTCTCCTCTCTCACTGAGGAAGCCATTGCTGCCGCCATTGGTCTCTCCACTGCACAACTTTGGCTCGCATTGGAGACTACGTTCAGTCATCATTCGAAAGCCCATGAAATGAGACTCAAGAATGACTTGCAACTAATGAAACGCGGCACCAAACCTGTGGCTGAGTATGTTTGTACCTTCAAAACAATCTGTGACCAGCTTCACGCCATTGACAGACCCGTCGAGGACATTGATAAAGTACACTGGTTTCTTCATGGACTCGACACCAATTTTTTAACTTTTTCTATGGCTCAGATGGCTTTCACCTCTTTCCCTTATTTTGAAGATTTAGTCTCTAAAACTGAAAGTATTGAGTTGTTTTAGTGCTCCCTTGAGTCTTCTGACTCCACTCCTGCGATATTCACAGCCACTAATCGTGGTCGCACCCATGGAAGTCATCCTGCTTCTTGTAGCAACCAACAAGGTCATTCTCATCTCCACCTCAACAATTCTTCCAATCGAGGATGAACCCACTCGGGTCAAGGTCGTCGACTCACTCTTCAGTATTGGTCGAGGAAGAACCGCACCCAGAACTCTTCCAATCGAGGACGAACCCACTAGTTGGTGCCCTTCAGTACATGACCATTACACGCCCAGATATTGCCCATGTTGTCAATTCTGTCAGAAAATTTTTGCATGTCCCTAATGCAGATCACTTTCTTGCTGTCAAGCGTATTCTTCGCTATGTTAAGGGAACACTCCACTTTGACCTTACCTTTCATCCATTCGTTGTTCCTAGTGCGCTAGTGGCTTATGCGGATGCTGACTGAGTCGGTTGTCCCGATACTCGTCATTCTACATTCGAATATTCCATTTATCTTGGTAACAATCTCGTTTCTTGGAGTGTCAGGAAGCAACCTACTGTCTCATGCTCTAGCTATGAAATTGAGCATCGTGCTCTTGTCATGACTACTGCTGAACTTTTTGGCTTACGCATCTTTTGCATGACCTCAAGGTCCCCATTCCACAATAGCTCTTGCTCTTATGTGACAACAAAAGTGCTATTTTTTTAGCTCCAATCCCGTTCCTCACAAGAGGGCCAAGCATGTTGAACTAGATTATCATTTCCTTCGAGAGCTTGTTGTCGCTGGCAAACTTCGCACACAGTATATGTACCTTCTCATCTCCAGGTTGCTGACATCTCCACCAAAAGTGTTTCTCGACCTCTCTTTGAATTTTTCATATTCAAGCTTCACTTTGTCAAATCCAAAGCTCAACTTGCAGGGGGTGTTGAGGAAATTTAGCCTTAAATTACGATTTCATAAGTTATCATATTTGACCCTTGATCATAGCCTAATATCGTGTATCTAGTTATTGCTCTTTCCATTTCCTTTGTAATCTATTTGATTTTGTAAATGATTATGAATAGAAAACCTTCACCACCATTTAGGGGGGCGATTTTAGCAAATATTTTCAAATAGCATCTCAATTCCCTTGGGGAGAATCCAGCCTCCTAAATCCTTAAGAAGTAGTCATGATCACCAATACCTCGTTGACTATTGAGTCCTCAAGCCATTTATTCCTTGCTTACAAGCTGATGGGGATAATTGCACTTCTTGGATATTTCTTTTTTCATTTCAAGCCAAGCCTAATATTTGGATGTAGAGAAATGTAGTTGGCAACTAATCATGATCACCAATACCTCGTTGACTATTGAGTCCTCAAGCCATTCATTCCTTGCTTACAAGCTGATGGGGATAATTGCACTTCTTGGATATTTCTTTTTTCATTTCAAGCCAAGCCTAATTTTGGATGTAGAGAAATGTAGTTGGCAACTAATCATGATCACAAATACCTCGTTGACTATTGAGTCCTCAAGCCATTTATTCCTTGTTTACAAGCTGATGGGGATAATTGCACTTCTTGGATATTTCTTTTTTCATTTCAAGCCAAGCCTTTCCTATCTTCTTATCCTCCATTTCTACCTATCCAATAATACCATAGCGATTGGCAACCTTTTTTCTGCATCACCTTGATAAATTCATGAGGTTAATGCCACAATATGGTAGAGTTTAACATTAGTTTTAATTCCTCATTAGTCTAAGAATCTTCACATGGTAGTCTATCATTTCTACAAACCCCTCAAATCTGTCATCAAAATCCTCAAAGGAAATGAATAAATCAATCTGGCACTCTGTTGAATGATAATCCATTCAATGCAATATATTTTGCAGGATTCCACACTAACAATATCAATAAAGGAGATGCATGAGACTTTATGGGATAGAATCCACGGAAACAATATTGAATAAAAGACAACATAAGTGAATATTGAAGACAACAATACCTGCAAATCATATGGCTTTCCGCTTCTGCTGTTGTCCCATGTTCATCATGCAAGTAAACTCTCCAACCCCTAAAGTCAAAGCTGTATCAGAACAGAAAGGCAGACATAGGAGAAATAAAATACAATCATCCCGTGTATTTCACCTTTCAGCTGCCTGGGCTGCCACCCTTCCGGCAATACTACGGATTTTGTTTGACTGAGGTGTCTCTTTTCCATCAAGTGATTTAGGAAGTCCAATAATAAATTCATCAGCTTCCTACAGTTTTTTTTCTTTTTCCATCAAATAATGTGCAATATAGAGAGGAAATAAATTTCCAACATGTTGATAATATTTCATTAGCAATATCGTGAGAGAGGGAGAGATGCATACTTCCTGTTCAGCAATCTCAATAAGCTTAAACTCAAGCTTTTGTCCTCGCAACTCCAGAACCTAAGCCAGCTAAAGAAATTATGAAGCCCAAACATTTGATAACACACAACAAAGGGTTAAAGGCAGCTGTGTAAATAGAGCGTCGCGGACTGCATAAATAATAATTACGAAGTAGAAACAGTCTTCCGATCGCGACATTATAAACACTTATGACCCAGAAGAAACGTAATTGAATAAGAGTATCGATCATCACTGCGTTAACTACGCATTTAGCACTAAATGTGGCAGAAAAATAGGCACTTCCATGCCACAGAAAAACCCACAAGTAGGAAAACAGTGGAGAAGTTGAATGTCCTGAAATTAGAGGGTAGGGAAAAGCGCAGAGACGACGGAATGAAATCAAATGAAGTGTAATAGGCAGAAAAATTACAGTAAGAGGACGAGTGGAAAAGCCTTTACTAAGAGCAAGTCCAGTGCGAGACGTTCCGAGGTCAACCCCTAGACTGAAACCTCCTCTCCACTGCGGGTCGAGCTTGCGGCGAAGGGCGTTGGGAGGAAGTTCGACGGAGGAAATTGCGGTTCTGCATTTGCAAATTAGGTTAGGAGATGGAGGCAGAAGAGGAAGGGAAGAGGGTCGTGGAGGACAGAAAATCGCGGAAGAGTGAAGTTTGTGGCTTTGCAGCGGAAAGGGTTGGAAATGTAGCGCGCACATTATGTCCAAGCCAACGAGAGGCTCCGCAGTGCCAAATTATACAATTATGTGTGTGCGCGCGCGCGCGCTTCTTCACTTAGTTTTTTTTTTTCCCCCCCTTAATTTAGCATAGAAAAGTGGAGAGTATTGTTTGATTTATTTTAGTGTGTGTATATTTTGTTAAAGAAAGAAGTGATTTTAATTATCAAATTTGTGGTTGGTTCATGTTTTTGAGTGAAAGGGAAAAGAAGTAATATTCTTGTAAAAGGAATGAAAGTGGGTGGATTTGTTGTCCTTGGGCTTACAATTTATTGGGCCCAGAATTTGATGCCTATTAACAAAACCACTGTCCATCAAAACTTAGGATGTGATCATATTTTTCCATTTACATTGTCTGAAAACCAAACGTGCAATGGAAACAATACTACAAATATTGATTCATTCTCTCCAATCTTTCTTCTATTTCTTCTCCTCTCTCTCCCGCTCTCTCTATGATGTGAAAGCATCCCTACCGCATTCATTACTAATAATGGCACTATGCTGTTCTATATAAATGTCAAATGACCCTCAATGGGTGTTTAAAAAAAAAAAAAAAAAACCCTAAGGCATTAAAAGTCAACTGTTACTTATTTTTTAAATTAAAATAATGAGGCGTAATGGATTTTGGGAGAATATGCAGTTTTGGGTATGAAATTTGAATGGATAGTTGAATTGGAGTTGAGGAAGAAAAAAAGATAGTCAAAAGAAAATGAGGTTTGAATGGTTGTATAGAAGGCGAAGGGAGAAATGGAAGGAGATCAGATTTGTTGACTGTTTCTGCTTTATATGCTCCTTTTTGTATTGGGGAAAAGTACCAAGTCTTCCTCAACTTTTATGGCTCCCCTTTTTAGTACTTTACCATTTAGTAAATTTAGAAGAGATGGGTTCCTTAGGTTAGGTTAGGTTAGGTTAAGTGAGGAGGGATTTTGATGAGGCCATGACAATTTGTTTTTAAAGAAGGCTATTATTTTAGATTTTATGCTTTCAATTTCATTAAAAACTTGGATACGTGTAAGAGTATAACATCCAAACTCACAAAGGCATTTGATAGCTTTTTTGGGAAGGAAGGAAAGGAAAGAAAAAAGTAGAAATATATAACCTCATATGCATTTGGGAAACATTCTGTAAGTTTAGAATCTTGAAAATTTACACAAGATTTAGTTCCAAAAGATGAAGGTGGCGAAGGAAAACAACAATAACTCCCAAGGATGCGGTATTGAATGGAGGCATTAATAATGCAAACCAATTAAATAAGAACGCAAACCAATTAAATAAGAACGCAAAATTCCATTTATGATGATAATAGAATAGGCCACCCGGACGCACATACAATTTTATTCTCACTAAAACTACGGATTTTGGTTTGCTTTTCCATCCACTCACCTTTTCAAAATCATCCCACCTTGAATCACCTTTTCAGTGATTAGTAAATTACAGCATGGAATTCAGAGAATGAATTTTGCAGTTAGATGAGAATTCCCAAGTCCGATTAATGAAGCTTTCAAACATAAAAGGAGTCAAAACTCAACAAACTTTATAATCAATACCCAGTAAAAGGTCAAAATTTCCTATCTTTTTTTCTTTTTTTCAAAAAAATTTGAGAAGAGGAGGTATGTTTTATTGCCTAATGGCGTTGACGAAATCCGCATCAGAAACTGCCGAGAGTTCGATCTGGCTAACATCGTCCTCCTCAAAAGGAGCCGGGAGGTTAAGATCTATGAAACTGTCTCCTAACTTTTTGGGTGGTGGAGTTTTGGGCGGAATTGAGTTGGGTGATGAGTAAGCGGTGACATGAGATCTCTTATGGCCGCCCAGGGCTTGGCCGGAAGAAAAAACTCTGAAACAAACAGGGCACTCGTGAATTTTCCTTTCACCCATGGAAGCTGCATTTTCACGGTGGATTACCAGTTGGGGATTGTTGTAAGTTACAGAGAGTTTAATCTTCTTGTGGCTAGCTCTATGCCCACCAAGTGCTTGATAAGATCGAAACACTTTGTTGCATGTTTCGCATTTGTAATTCCCTCTGTTCCGATTCTTTGGAAATTTCAGCGCCTCGGAATCATCGGTCTCCTCCATAGACTCTTCTACTTCCTCGTCTTCTTCATCCTCATTGTCCTCCTCCTCCTCCTCCTCCTCCTCCTCCTCATACCCACCTCGCTGCTTCGTCCATTTATCCCGAGAAAGCATCATCAGCCAAAACGCAACGTCTTGTTCCGTTGTGCTACCGGAGATCGAACTAACTGGTTCTGCCTCCGTCCACGATTCCGGCTGGTTCACCTTCTTTTCCTGAAGCCGTTTAAAAGCACTGTAATGATGATGCTCATGGACATGCTGGTGATGGTGGTGATCGAGCTTACGAGTCCTCTTCGATCTTCTCCGAGTTGGGTTCTTTGACGACTCTGTTTCACTTTCCCGGTCTTGCAGAACCACCGAGCCTGCGTCGACGGCGAATGAGAATTCGGGATCTACCACCCGAATACTTCGTTTGGGATTCTCTCTTAGCCCATAACCCAGACCCTTTTCCTCTGCGTCGCCTTCCGAGGATGAGGGGGAGGACAGGAAAGAAGCAGAGTCGGCGTCTTCGCTCAGGTGGGCATGCTGTGGCGGTGGGTCTTCTGGTTTGGGTGGGAGTGGAAGGTTCATCAAATGGGACCTCATATGACCTCCCAAAGCTCTGCCATTGGAGAAGCTTCTGAAGCAGAGCTTGCACTTGTGCCTGTCCATAGATGAAAGCACAAAAAAAAAAAAAAAAAAAAAAAAAAAAAAAAAAAAAAAAAAAAAAAAAAAAAAAAAAAAAAAAAAAAAAAAAAAAAAAAAAAANGAAGGAAAGGAAAGAAAAAAGTAGAAATATATAACCTCATATGCATTTGGGAAACATTCTGTAAGTTTAGAATCTTGAAAATTTACACAAGATTTAGTTCCAAAAGATGAAGGTGGCGAAGGAAAACAACAATAACTCCCAAGGATGCGGTATTGAATGGAGGCATTAATAATGCAAACCAATTAAATAAGAACGCAAACCAATTAAATAAGAACGCAAAATTCCATTTATGATGATAATAGAATAGGCCACCCGGACGCACATACAATTTTATTCTCACTAAAACTACGGATTTTGGTTTGCTTTTCCATCCACTCACCTTTTCAAAATCATCCCACCTTGAATCACCTTTTCAGTGATTAGTAAATTACAGCATGGAATTCAGAGAATGAATTTTGCAGTTAGATGAGAATTCCCAAGTCCGATTAATGAAGCTTTCAAACATAAAAGGAGTCAAAACTCAACAAACTTTATAATCAATACCCAGTAAAAGGTCAAAATTTCCTATCTTTTTTTCTTTTTTTCAAAAAAATTTGAGAAGAGGAGGTATGTTTTATTGCCTAATGGCGTTGACGAAATCCGCATCAGAAACTGCCGAGAGTTCGATCTGGCTAACATCGTCCTCCTCAAAAGGAGCCGGGAGGTTAAGATCTATGAAACTGTCTCCTAACTTTTTGGGTGGTGGAGTTTTGGGCGGAATTGAGTTGGGTGATGAGTAAGCGGTGACATGAGATCTCTTATGGCCGCCCAGGGCTTGGCCGGAAGAAAAAACTCTGAAACAAACAGGGCACTCGTGAATTTTCCTTTCACCCATGGAAGCTGCATTTTCACGGTGGATTACCAGTTGGGGATTGTTGTAAGTTACAGAGAGTTTAATCTTCTTGTGGCTAGCTCTATGCCCACCAAGTGCTTGATAAGATCGAAACACTTTGTTGCATGTTTCGCATTTGTAATTCCCTCTGTTCCGATTCTTTGGAAATTTCAGCGCCTCGGAATCATCGGTCTCCTCCATAGACTCTTCTACTTCCTCGTCTTCTTCATCCTCATTGTCCTCCTCCTCCTCCTCCTCCTCCTCCTCCTCATACCCACCTCGCTGCTTCGTCCATTTATCCCGAGAAAGCATCATCAGCCAAAACGCAACGTCTTGTTCCGTTGTGCTACCGGAGATCGAACTAACTGGTTCTGCCTCCGTCCACGATTCCGGCTGGTTCACCTTCTTTTCCTGAAGCCGTTTAAAAGCACTGTAATGATGATGCTCATGGACATGCTGGTGATGGTGGTGATCGAGCTTACGAGTCCTCTTCGATCTTCTCCGAGTTGGGTTCTTTGACGACTCTGTTTCACTTTCCCGGTCTTGCAGAACCACCGAGCCTGCGTCGACGGCGAATGAGAATTCGGGATCTACCACCCGAATACTTCGTTTGGGATTCTCTCTTAGCCCATAACCCAGACCCTTTTCCTCTGCGTCGCCTTCCGAGGATGAGGGGGAGGACAGGAAAGAAGCAGAGTCGGCGTCTTCGCTCAGGTGGGCATGCTGTGGCGGTGGGTCTTCTGGTTTGGGTGGGAGTGGAAGGTTCATCAAATGGGACCTCATATGACCTCCCAAAGCTCTGCCATTGGAGAAGCTTCTGAAGCAGAGCTTGCACTTGTGCCTGTCCATAGATGAAAGCACAAAAAAAAAAAAAAAACAAAAACAAAAAACAAAAAACAAAAAAAAGAAAGAAAGATATTTTTTTTTCTTTTTCTGACAAAACAGGGGGAAGGGAAACCCACAAAGAGAAAACAGAGTATGAAACTTCTCCTCCTTCCTCCCTTTCCTTTCTTTCTACGTGAGAGAGAGAGTGTAAGCTGAAGAGTAGGTGACAAGCAATCCTCAACCAATAGATATATACAAAGCTACGAAACAAGTATATTAAATTTTCTTAAAAAAAAAAAAAAAAAGAAAAAAAGAAATCAGTTTTTCTTGGGAGGAGAATGAATGAGGAGAGATTTTGCGATTGGTAAAGGGTACATTGGTACTTTTAGTGGCCTTCCAGGATTAAAACGGCAAGAGCATAATAAATGGGGAAAATAATGTAAGAAAGTAAGATGCAAATGAAGTAGGGAAGTATGTGTAAGTGTTCCCGTTTCCACCATTTATTTCCATCCCTTCCCACTTTCAGATCCCATAATCCCCAAACTACCCTTCTCAATTTTTTTTAATAAAAATATAT